CTCTGATTCAGAAGGTTTAAAGACCTGTTTTTTCATCTTTGTTTCAAATAAGCAAAAACACATGCATCTTCTCTTCTGTTAAAAACTCTGATTAAAACTTTTTAAAAATTATAAAATTTATATACTTCCACCAGTGGATGGGTTTTCCTTCCATTTTATCTGGCAGCAGTTTATTTTATTTTTTTAAATTTTAATCTGAGCAAAAGAATAAAAGAAGAAAAACTACATGAGTAAAATGTAACGGTCAATGAAGATAAATTAATGAAAAATTCTTCTGAGTGTCTTGAAGGAACCGAACATACCCATCTACTGAAGATACTGAAAAATCCCTGAACATGCTCATCTACTAGCTCTGTGGCCAGTTGTTAATGGATTCATTCATCTTGATTCATTTTAGGACTCAAATTTAAATGGAAATCACCAGTCAATCTTTCATGTAGCACTTTCTATGGAGAGTGCACATTTCATATTGTTGTAACACTGTTTTATTAGATACAGAATTTTTAAGATCAAGAACAAACCAAAGACAAGAGCCCTTGATGACAGCTCAGCTGCATAAAATGCCACCACTAAAGACTACAAGGCAAACCAGAGATAATTCCAAGTTCTATGGAGGTCAAGGAATTTGCACTGACTTAGGCCACAGCTGGACTACTGACATGTGCATTATGTTCAGCAGGGCTCCCAGACCATTCAGAGAGAGCTTGTTGGACTGCAGATGGGAATACAACTCTTAAAAATTAGACAATCAAGAGTAAAAAGTTGTGCTGAGGTACAGCTCCAGCTTCCCACTGTACATTACAAAGCTCTCCCTGCTGAAAGCATACAGCTAAGAGCAATTTGTGGTAAGAGAAATAAACGTCCCTGTTAATTTTTTAGCTACAGAACTTCATGTCCTTTTGGAACACACTTTGATTCTAGAGCAGGGCTGGGACTGGAGGGGTCTGGCTCTCACCAGCTCAGTATCTCACCTCCCTCTTTCCACACACAGGCACATGTGAGACAGGATAACATTCAGCCTTCTTCAGTTCTCTGCAGAAAAGCAGTAATGAGACAGCAGTGAGAAGTGGTACCTGCTCTGTGCAGCTCCACTTCCCATCCTGCCTGAACTCCAAAGAGTAGCAAAAATGCAGTGTCACCACGAGTCTCCTTGGCCCAGAGCCTGCCAGCGTTACAGGCAGATGCCACAACAACTGCTCCATTCTCCTTCTTGTAAAGGGAGGGGAAGGGGGAAGCTCGTTTATTGGAGAGGCAAGAACAAGAATTAGCTTTTATAAGACCAGCTGATAAAATGAAAAAGACACAGAATCAGCTGCTGGCACATGAGGCCTTCTTCAGGTCTGAGGCAGAGGCGGCAATCATTGCACTAAATAACAAAAGGACATGCTGAAATTAAATATAGGCTGCTCCTGCACTAATAGCTCAACTAAGTGATCCTCACAGCTCCAGAATACCTAGAGATAACTTTAATGTTTAGCTAATCACTCAACAATGCAGCAGGATCAGTGCTGATACAGGCATTCCTAAAAACAATCAACTTAATGCATTTTTTAACATCTTCAGTAAAGGAGATACATGTTTTTCTCAACACAGTCAATTTCACTGCTTACTATCCTTTTCTATTAGATGCTTTCCTTCCATGTCTAACTAAAATCCTTCATCTGTAAGATTCCAGGGAAATAAAGCCAAAACTGTATCAGAGAGAGGAATTTGGGATCCACAATACAGAAAAAGTCAGAAGAATAATTGCTGTTATCTGAGAAGACCTACAATCATTCACTGCATGGAGAGTTAAAGCAATAGGCTGAGAACTGCCAGGGCAGGAAACCCAATTCATATGGAAAAAAAAAAATCGGGAGAAATTAAGCTTGTGGAAGAAAAATGGAGCACAGCACTGACCCTTCAAAACAACAGAATATCAATCATTGGCGATAGAGGTCAGAAGGGAGGAGCATGGGTTTGTGACTCATTACACTGAAGGAGGCTCTATCCAAGACATGCCCTCCCATTCCTTCCTGGATGGTCCTTCCTCCTGGGAGGGCAGCATGGATGGGGCAAATCAGAACTGGACCCAGAAGTACCTCAAAGAGGCACAGAATCACTGTCATTCATCTCCTGCAGAGCTATTACATACACAGACTGAAGGTCTGCTTTGTGCTAATGAGCACCATCAGCACATTGGAGCAGCCATCTGCAACACCACACTGCGCTGATGTAACCCTGGGAACAGATCCTTCAGCAGTGGCATTCCCTTGTTGTGAGGGGCACTGCCTTGTTGTGACCACTGTGCTGGATGCACTGGATGAGGGGGCACAAGAGGTCAAGGCTTCTCCCTCGTTGGGCCTGCGAGGGGTGCCCGGCTGCAGAGCATCATATCCTGCACGGGGCTAGGGAAGCGCCAGCACCCCCAGAGCTTGCTGGGGTCCAAGCACGGCCTAGCAGGAGCACACTGGAGCCCTGGCCAAGGCCTGCCCCACAGCACGCTGGCAGTGTGGCCACGGCCTGGCCCAGCACCCCCATTGTCCCCCCGGCACAAAGAGGGGTGGGCGGGGCCGGGGAAGCCCCGCCCGACTGACAGCGCCAGCTGCCAATGAGCGCGGGTGCTCTGGCGACAGTCCCGCCCCGCTCCGGCAGGCAGCAGCGGGCTGCGCCGCTGACTGACAGCTGTCTCAGCCAATGGGGGCGCGCCGCCCCTCCCAACCAGCGGCAGCTCAGCGGCGGCGGGGGCTGCGCCCCCCAGCGCGGGGCAGCGGCCCCGCCGTGGCTGACTGCCACTCGCCCCAGCCAATCGCGACTCGCCGAGGCGCAGCGGCCCCGCCCCCCGAAGACGCCGTATGGCGCCGTGCGAGGGCCGGAGGCGGCGGCCGAGCCGGCCGAGGTGGTGGGGGGCGGCGGGCGGGGCGCGGCCGCCCCGATGACAAAGGGATTGCGGGCCCTCCCCGCTCCCGGGACGCGCGGCCGCCCGCACTCACGTTGTCTATCACGACGGGCTGGTTCGCTATCACATCGTAGGATTCCATGGCGAGGACCCGCCGCAGCCGCCCGTGAGGGAGCAACAGCCCAGCCCTCGGCGGCGCATGCGCGGAGCGGCGACGCGGCGCCGCCTGGGTGATGTATTCCTGCCGCCGCGGCGCCTGCCGGGAGCTATAGTCCGACGCTGCGCAGAGTCAAGCGGGGAGGCGCGCCGGGAGCGGAGCACGCCGGGAGCTGTAGGCCGGCACCGGGAGCGAGCCATGCCGGGAACTGTAGGCCGGCGCTGGGAGCGGGGCATGCCGGGAGCTGTAGGCCGGCATCGGGAGCGGGGCGTGCCGGGAGGCGGAGTGCGGAAAAAGGGAATCCTGCGGACACATCCACGGCCGAGACACCGGAGAATGTTGCGGTCCAGGAGATAGCTGGGTGCTTCCACCGGAAACGCTGCACCGCAACTGGCTGGCTTCCGCTTAATAGATTCTCCCCTCTTAATTTTTTCTAATAGGAAAGGAGAAAAAGGTGATTATATCAACTTCTGTAGAGGGTATCTATGACTACGGAAAGTGTTTTATTGTCCCATAATTTCATGTGATCATCTTTATGAACTACTGGTCATAAGTCATCTGTTCCCTCCACGAAACACCAGTTTCTCTCCATTTTTGAGGTACAAGAACCATAAAAGAGGTGTCAGTATAAAGAATACATATCATGATCATTTCAGTATTGAACAATGAACACACTGTCATTTTCCATTGACTAAGTATTCTAAAAGCACTTGGAATAATCGATCACTGAAACTCTGGATCTTGAAACTAATTAAAATGGATTTTCATGCCAGTGAGCAAACCTGAAGGCTTGACTCACCTGTCTTGTCCCACATCTCTCCTGCAGACATGGACTTTTCTCCTGTAGTTCCTGCCTTTAGCTCCAGTAGATAAGTTTCATCCCAGATGTTTACATTTAGCGACCTTCCCCATTCACCTAGTCTAAAAGAGGGAGTTTTTATACAACAGGATTGAGTGGTTTAGATTAAAGACAGTGTTGTATCACTTCAGTGAATGGCAGGAGACACTCACTATGGGTGTATCCAACGCAGCCTTTCTACATACTCAGTTACATTCACCTTCTCAGCTGACTGCAGCTGACTACTCAGGCAAGTGTCACAAAAAGTAGTATCATGGTAACAGGACAAGTGAAATATTTTTCACTGTGGAAAGTGAGGACACCAACTGCTCACTTCCTTTATCAGAGGATTGTCATTTGGCTGTCAGCTTCTTCACCATGTGTGTTCCCCCAAATGGTGTTGTGAAAGTTTTTAGAATAAACTCTCACCTATTTAAGTGAGAAATGCGACCAGGGCGCCCACCATCTCTGCTGAGCACTCTATAGCTCTTTTTTTTTCTATTTCCTGATTAACAAGCAGGACCCTGCTCTAGCAAAGGTGTGTAAACTACTGCGCACACACCATCCACATGTACATACCCGGCTTTGCACCTCCACAGCTGTAGCTGCAGCTCGTGAATGAGCCAGACCGTCAGTGCGCTTGTGCACAAGCCAGAATCCGCGATCGCAGAGCCCCAGACTTCACGCACTGGCAGCTTCCAGCTGCCTCCGAGGGCCCTGCATTGGCGGGGGTGTGAAGGCAGCAGTCAGAGCCCCGCTGTGCTCCCGGGCCCGCCGGGCGCGGAGCTCCCGCTCCCCCGGACCCGCTCCGCGTTCCCGCCACCGCCGCGCGCGGCCGCCGCCCCGCCCACCGCCCAGCCCCGCGCCGCCGCTAGGGGGCGCGCCCGACCCGCAGCGAGGGGCGGGGCAGAGACGCGGCCGCCCTCCGGGCGGCGAGCTCTCATTGGTCAGTCCGTCCTGTCACTCAACGCCGCCCTTGCAGCGGGGCCCCACCTCCTTCGCGCGAAGCCCCGCGCAGCGCCGCCATTGGCGGAGGCGGTCTGTCACTCACGCGGCCCGGCAGTAGGCCCCGCCCCTCCTCCCGCGGCCCCACGCAGCCGCTTGGGCCGGGCCGGGCCGGGCCGGGAGCGCCTGGCGGGAGCGGAGCGGGTTCGGCACCAACCGGGACGGGCCGGGACCAGCCGCCTCCGGGACATGGAGGGCGTGCGGCCGGGCGGGGGGCCCCCCGCGGGCGGGCCGGGGTCCGGCTCGGGGTCCGGGTCCTTCCCGTCGCTGTTCCCGCCGGGGTTGCACGGTATCTACGGCGAGTGCCGCCGCCTCTATCCCGACCAGCCCAACCCGCTCCAGGTCACCGCCATCCTCAAGTACTGGTGAGGCGGCCTGGATGGGGCCGGGGTCTTGCGTGGAGCCGGGGGGAGCCGTGGGGCCGGCGCCTTGTGTGGGATAGGAGAGGGTTTGGGAGGAGGAGTGGGAGTGGGAGAGGGTTGGGAGAAGCACTGGGGCTGGGGCCGTCGCACGGGGTAAGCTGGAGGGGCTGGGGAGGGTTGTGGCAAGGGCAGGGAGTGGGGGTTGCGTTCTGTGTCAGGGGTGATTTGCGGGAGTTTTGGGGACATGCAGCGGGTCTGCGGATGGGGGGATTGGGGGTGCAGTTGGTTGCCTAGGTGTGTGTTTGGAGGGGGCTCCTGGGGAGAATGTGCTGGTAATAGAAGGGTCTGGAGAGGTGTGCCCTGAGGACAGGAGAGTGTATTGGGGTTTCTGGGGTGATTTGGAGGGTCCACGCCTGAGGGGTTGCTGATGAAGGCCCCATCTGGGGCAGGTCTTATGAAAAGGGCGTGCGTGTTACTCAGTGGAGGTGTTCCCGCAGAAGGTGAGGAAGGGTCTGGAGTTTCCCCCCCGGTCAGGAGTGCCGGGCTCCGTCTTCTGGCCAGGGGTCTGGGGCTCGAGTGCAGCGGCACGGACCGGAGCGAACCCGCTGTTGCAGCCTGCAGGCCGGGCACATCCCTGTGTACCCATACAGCCCTGCCCATACGGGGCACTGCCAGCTTCTCTTGGCCTTACGTAGCCATGTGTTATCACAGAATGTGAATCTGCTGTTCAGTGTCTCTGCTGACACAGTGTCTGACACCAGGAACAGCAGTTGTTTATGTGGGAGAGTGGCATGAAGGAAGTTCTTGGATGTTTAGCTATCAAGATAAGTGTCTAGTGTCTAATCCCGTGTGAAGAGGAGTTCCTTTTGCTTTTTGCTTAGCTAGATCGCTTAGCTGCACAGCCCTTTCTTCTGGGGCTAAGGAACATGATCAAGTCACCCCTGAATGTTTTCTTTATGTCACATTGGCCTGTCCCTACCCTAGTACTTGAAAAAAAAACTAGTAAATGCTCAACTTCTTTAGTTACAGCTCATTTCAACCTGTATGTCTTTATCTAATTAGAGTCCTGAGCAACAGCAGAATAACATCCTCCCTGTATGCTGCTCTGACAGACAAAGCTATTGCTGTTTTTGTCCACAGAAGTGTTGTTTTTCAAGTGATTCTAGCAAGAAGTTTGTTAGCCCTTATTGTCTAGGGGAGTATTGTATTAAAATGACACAGTGGGCTAAGATATTGCAAATCTGAGACTTCAAAATATAAATAATTTCTTAGTCATTGTGCACATCAGTACTTTGGTGGTGGTCTGATCAGTCTGTTTTTACACCTATGTCTAATCTTAGATACTCATGAAGAGTTTCCAGTCACGTTAGCACTTCTTTTCTATCAACAGCTTAAAACATACTGACTGTATTGACATAAGATTTTTGGAGGCTGAGGGAAATTTAGGTCTGTAGTGAAGAATGGCAAAGGCCCTTGTTTGGGAAGAAACCTTGTTGCTTAAGGGATTGATTAGGGTTTTGCTGCAGTTGGAGCTCAAACACAAAGAATTGTTGCTGGCAGTGATGGCAGGTTGCAAGTAAGAAGTAATGTGAAGGCCTGTTTATCCTGGCATTTTCCACTTAGTGGTTCCTCCAGCTGTTAGCTCAGCCAGCAGTGAGAGCTGAGAGTTTCTGTTGTAGAGGTGAGCTTCCTACTGCTGTCCTGTGCAGGAAATGCTTGTGTGAGGTAAAACCTCTATGGACACCAGAAGTTCTTTCTCTCCTGTTGTTGGGTGAAAACTTGGAGCTTGATTTTGTTAAGTTCTCTTAAGTAGAACGACTCCTGCCACAACTCTCTGCTAATCTGTCCTACTCTGCCTGGGCTGCCAGCTATTAGCTGGTTTACATTAGAAGAGGAAATGGCTGAATTAAATTCTCTGCCTTAGGAGAAATATTGTATCACTAATCAGCTTTTAATTATATGTATCAGTTTCTCTACAGTTAACAGCGATTTGGTTTTTTTTGTTCAGGGAGCTGAAGTTGTAGTCTTTGGCTTGCAGATCAGAGCAGATCCTAACTGTGGAACATTGGAGAATCTGCAGAACTCCATGCCTGTTGTATAAAGGGGTTTAGCCATGTTGGGAGAAGTCTTGGGATCCAATCAGAACTTCTTGGAAGAGTTTCTGTCTATTTTTGTGAAGGCCATGCACCAAGATGGAGTTTGTCTGTTGATATCCCATATCCACTTTTATTATAAAATGTGGTAGAGTATCTCAAATTTAAATATCTTGTTGCATAGAATTGCTGGTGAAAAAAATAAAATTTATTCTTTTTTTGTGATGGGTTTTGAAATAAGTATAATTTGGGCTTGACTACTGGGTTTTTATCACCTGTCTTAAATTTAGGCCATACTCACAAAAACCTGTGCAGTGAGCTGTGGTCCGCAGCCTTTTGGGAATCACACACTATTTCTGAAAGGTTCTCAAAAGGTAGCTGTGAAGAGCAATGCTATTGTCAGCTTCTGGGAAGTGACTACAAGCAATACACTAAGGACTTTTCTAGGTGGATGAATTAGGAGTGGAGTTTTCCAATGACTTTCCATTGTGGGTCTCTTTCCTCTCTGCGTTTTGTGTTTCCCTTCCACACAAACTTTGGAGTGCTCTTAACATCAGTCAAAAGAAGATTCTTGGTGCAGATGCAAATACAGGGTTTCCCCTGAGGCGGTCCTTCCTGCTCCTGAATGAGCTCCATGAATAGAGAATGTAACAAATTTGTACTGTACCTCTGGCTTTGAAGTTGGGCTCTTCCTAATAAAATCCTCCAACGCTTCCAGCTCTTTGTGTGAGTGCATGTACTGATATGTAGATTGTGATACAAGGTCGAACCCTGCTGCGGCGGTGTGGGCGGGAGGATGTACCACAGCAGCGCCGACATAGAGTAGTGAAACCTGCCACCGAAACTGGATAAATATCTGTGCTGACTAATCTCTGGTGAGTGTTATTGCCATGGCCGCGTTACTGTGTGCTGCAGGTAGCTGGCTGAAAGCTCATGCTGGATACTTGTGTAGTTGTGGTGGTTTTGGGATAGGTGTATGGCTTGGATATGTTTTTCAAAATTTAATTAGTCACTGCTGCAGGCTTTTAGTCTACATCTCTTCCAAGCCTACTACACTTCTCAGTGAGTAAAGATGGTGTGACTGGATCGTTGAGCAACATGTGAACCAGTTGGTAGTGAACTCTGGGCAGGACTGAGCTCAGCTCCTTCAGGCCTCCTGGTGCCACATTGCTGTGGCCACCTCTTGAGTAGTGTGGTGCTGCAGGTTTCCAGAGAAGTTTGACCTTTGGAGACAAACACAGGATTGCTGGCAGGAGTGTGGGAGAGAGGTTTCTGGCTTGCCTGGTGCTCTCCTAGGCAGGACCTGCCATCTGCATCAGACCTGACAAGTATGTTTGAGTAGCCCTAGGGAAATTCATTGAATAGTCCCTGTCCTGAAAAGGGCAGTGTAGAGGTTTCTCTTGTTGTCAGTATCAGAGTGCCTGTGTCAGCAGTGTTCCAGCATTGATTGTTTGACTTCTAAAGTGTTATTAAACCTAGTTTGGAAGCACGTTTTCTTCATGTAGGAGGTGCTGGTTGCTTAACAGTATTCTCTTCATTGCAAAGTCCACACAACTGCCCTGAGCACTGACTAACCTCTCATGCTGGTCAGTGCATGAACCTTCCTCACTATGGAGTTCTCCCAGTCCAGTAATAATTGTGTGTGGCTGCTGCTGGTCACTGCTGCTCCTCAAGAGTAAGTGACCATCCTGGCTGGAATTACTTCCATCTGACTGCTTCCATCATGGATCACTGGAGGGCTGAGCACTGGCCAGGACATAGGTGCCAGGCTCTGAACAGAGCCACATGGATGGGTGCTTGTGGTAGAGACCTCAGCCTCCAGTGTGACCTGATGCCAGTGAAAGGGAACAAGTGAGAAAAGGGTGTCGTCAGAGGGGACTTGTTTTTTCCTGAGTGTTTCAAACTATTGCTAGACTTTAAAAGCGGTTTTTTCAGGTGTCTACTGAAGATCAAACTTAGCTCCATCCTGGGGTCTGACACACTCTCCCCCACGTTTGCTCACCAATTTGCCTTTTATGTCATGAAGATCCACTTGTCATATGAGGAGGCTGCATTGTTTTGATGTAGCCTTTGACAATGGACACCTGTGCTACTACGGAGGGTGAGCTGCTCCTCCCCTCTGTACTACCCCAGTATCCTGGGCTGCATCTTTGGCTGACCTGCTGGAGAAACTGCAATCGGTCTCAGTCACAAGGATGGCCTTGTGTGACTTAAGAGGGGGAAGCTGTCCTACATAAAGTCAGTCATGTTAGACAAGTGCTTTGGTTTCTTGCCAGTGGCAGTAAGAGCAAGGCAGCACACCTGTGGAGAAGTCTTTTAGTACACCAAGCTGATATGCTGTTTTGTACAGACTTGATAAGACTGGGCAATAGGAGGAGGGCAGAGAGTATAGAATAGTGTCTCATTGTCACTAGGGCTTGATCCATCTCTCCAGCTACGGAAACTGTGTATGATGATACACAAACCCCCAGGACAAGTGAAGAAAGCACAGCCATGCCCTGCAACCTGCAGATGATTGTGTCAGGGTCTAAACAGACAATAGACATGAGAGGAATTGATGTGTAGAATTATTTGTTCCAATGTGGAACAAACGATTCTACACATGAAAGTGAATGGGGTTGTATGAGTTTGGATTTTCTTGTTTGGAGCAGCTGAGAGTTTTACTTGATGACACAAAGGCACAAAGGGGTTAAACAGCTGCTCAGCTGTGCCATAACTGCTTATGGTAGGTGTTCTGTGATTGACAGGGCAAACAGCAAAACAGTCCAGCATGTTCCTTCCTTCAGCAGGGAGTTGTCCTGTCTTAGTTCAGACAGAGGTGATGCGAGCGGCAGGAGGATGTGCTCTGCTCTCTGCTGGCACACAGCCTCAATTCCTTGTGCCTTGTAGCAGGAAGGGTGGCTGCAGGCTTTGGGGGTTGCTTTGTACCATAACCTGCCTGTACTGTGTTGACTTTTGAGTTATGTTCTTTTAAGGAAGCCATTCTAATGCTGATGTAGAGGGTACAGTGCTGCCTTTTACTCATTCTTGTTTAATGCAAGTGGTGTATTTTTAGAAGTTTTGCTGCTAGTTTTACTGAATCAATGTTTTTCTCCTCCACTTTTTGAACTATTTTGTCTGCGTGCAGAAGTATGGATTACTCTGAGTAGCATCACTTTTTTTGAGGTATGTGCCTCTGGACTGAATTAAGAGTTTGCAATGCAGATACAGCCATTGCTCTTTTACTAGAACAGTATTTCAATTTTCTTTGTGTTTTTTGGAAGCTTTAATATGATTTTTATGCTTTAACATTAAAAACGTTTTTAGCATGTTGCACACATGTACTTTGTTTTCCTGTGCTCAAAGCTTTCTGGACTTAACCTAACCTTTCTCCTCATTTTTTTTTTTATTTTTTTTTTCCCAGAGGTAATTTGAATGTTCTAATTTTTGTTTTAAACCAGGTCTTTGTACAACCACTTCTAGCACCTGGGGAGAGTTACCCTTTGTCTTGAGTGAACTAACTTATGCAATAATTTTTCTGTTTTTTATGCAGGTTGGGAGGGCCTGACCCTCTGGACTATGTTAGCATGTACAGAAACCTGGGAAACCTAGCACTGAATGTTCCTGAGCACTGGCACTACGTCAGCTTTGGGCTAAGTGACTTGTATGGAGACAACAGAGTACATGAGTAAGTGTCATTAAGGTTCTGTAGCTGTGCATTGTGTTTTGTGTTGCATTTTGGGGGGGGTGTAGGTAAAACCCTGTCCTGCTGCTCATATTATTTGAACAGCTGGTTTTCTGTTGAGAACACCCTAGCCCTTGGTCTCAAAAAAGGATGACATATGCCTGTTCTTGCATGTAGAAGACATTCTATGTTTCCCCTCTGCAGGCTTTGAATGCTGTATATTTCCTTTCAGTGTTGAGTGGGTTTTTGTTTAAATTTCTTTCAGCTTGTTGGGAAATTTTCTTTTAACTGTCTGTCTTGTTGTGTTTTTCACACTCTGTAATCTGCTATGGTGGTACACTTAAATCCTGACCCCTCCCTGTGCATGTTAAATGCCTTCCTCTGGAAAACTGCTGTAAGGGCATTTTTGCTGTTGCTGGCACAGCAGTGTTACTGTCAGCAGACTGCCATTCCAGTGGCTGCTGTATAAAGTGCCAATTTGTGTAACAGAAGCCTAAAACTCTTAATTGTTTGACTGTCTTTTCTCTAGTAATTAAATTATTATCTTAGGTTGTTGGTATGAATGGTTTCTAGCAGGAACTTTGGATTAGACCAAGCAGGCAGCATGAGCTAACCCTGTTCTTGTCTTTCGTTAGCTGACCCTACTGCTTAACTCCAGTTAAAGTGAGTAGCAGCAGCCAAGACATTGTGATTTTGGGGCTGTGAAAGTGGCCTTTTAACCAGCCAGAAATGGCACAATGTTTCTGCTGTTGCTGTTTACTGAAACTATCTTTGCACTGTGTTATAGTTGCAGGATAAATGTCCTTGATGAGTGGTGTAGCAAAGGCTTCATTTTGTTCACGCAAGCTTTCCTCCTTTTGTTTGTCTTGGTTAAGATTCAGCCACCAGGTTTTTTTCCATCAAAGTGCTTCTCTTGCAACAGCAGCAGTTGGGCAGTTTCTTTAACTTTACCCATTGCTCAAGGCAGTTTCTCCTGTTTTTTTTTTCCTTGTGTTTGTGATTACAGAACTGTTTTTCAGAAAACAAGTATGGAGTTTATGCAGGACCCTAATGTCACAGAGATCTGCCTGGGACGTTTAACCAACATGTTTACTAACAACAAACCCCAATGGATAGTTGCAGGGGCAGAGGAAAAGTAGGGCAAGTGAAAGAAATTAGGTTTAAGGCTTCATTCCCTCACAAGAAATCTTAGCATGAACATGTACACATTCACATGGTGCTTTTGTTTATAGATAAGATATATGTTTCCCTTTTCTCTGTGTGGCTGGAATATTATCCTCAGCTCCACAGTACTGTGTCCTTGTGTCACTTGCCCTAAGATGTTCAGCTGTCTGCAGTCTGTCATCTTTAATTTGGCCTCATTCTTGGGGCTACAAAGCTTAATAGTATTTGTTCTGTTGGGTAGGTTGATTCTACCTTGTCTGCAAAAGTCTTAATATACAATTATGCCTGTGGTAGAGCTGACAAGACCTACCCATCTCCTCAACACTGAATGTGAAGTTACCAGCTGGTACGTGAGCACTGTAGACTGGCTGAGAAAAGATTTTCAAAGGAGCTGAGCATTCACCAGCAGTTCTCACTCCCAAGAGCAATTGTTGTTTGCTAAAACTGCTATGGAAATTTGATGGCTGTGGGAATTGCATGTCACCAGCCCAGCCCTGGGTGCACACTGTAGGAATGTGGTGGATTTTCCTGTGCACTCAGGAAGTTCTTGTTCTCTGACAGGGAATTTAATAAAGCTTTATTTAAGAAAATATGTCTTTTTTTTTTTTTTGTTTGAAGGGCTTTGGGATTCTGCTGTTCCAGGTAAAATGTGCTGTTGTAGAATGGTTGGCAGGAGCATGGAGTTGTAGGGTAGTTGTTTAAATCTTTGGTATATTTTCTTTAAAACCGGTGTGGCACTCTGCTCAATTCCCCTGGCCTCTGGAGACAAGAAAGGGTTTGTTTGAGGGGTTTTTTTGGGGTTTGTTTGTTTTTGTTTTGGGTTTTTGGGGTTTTTTTTTAATTTTGTTTCCCAGCTGTCTACAAAGAGTGCAGAGCTGGATCTGTTTGTGACAGCAAGGTTCCTACAACAGGGATACGCTTCCATAACCTCGCTGTCCTTCATACTTTAGAAGGGGAAGGATAGAACACTGCCAAAGGTCTTTTTAATTGTCCTGTTTGGGTAAGGTGTAGCTTACTTCTTGTGGACCTCTCATGGTAATACAGTACAGTTTAGAACAATTATAAAGCAGTATTAAATGAAAAGGACTTTTTGATTTTTTTTCAAGTGAACTAACACTGAATTGGAGGCCCCTGTACTTATATTTATAATGGAATAGCAAACAGATGTAGCAAATAATGTGAAAATGTTGACTTTAATTTATATTTTTTAATAAGAACCTGAAAAGTCTGAAGTAGAGGTCTCCCAGTGCCTCCTTGTTGACAGATTTATTTTCAGTTAAAGCAGCACTGTTTCCTGCTTTGCTTACGTATCAGCTACACTCTGCTTACAGAATCAGTCTGGTTTTAAGAATCTGTAGAATAAGATGGAAGAAATCTAAGAATTTCAAACAAGGAAACCTTTTTCGTTTAAAACCCCTCAGTGTTTCATGGTATAATGGCAACCATGACACCAGCTGTGCTGGGCTGATAGCTCTAAAAGTCCTAAATCATGATGTCATGACAGCTTTAGGCCTTTCAGTGGGATTTCATGCCAAGCTGCTTGCATGGAAATAAGTCTCTCCAGTTGAGAATGTTGCACAACTTGAGTGGCAGCAGAAATCCTTCCAGGATGTTTTTGCAAGTTATACTTCGTTTTTAGCTTTTTCTATCTTCTTTCTAATTAAAACAAATGTGTAACTTCTTGAATCTATTCTGCAGGGTTAAAGTAGGGCCTTTTTTTTTCAGACTGTTCTTGTATTCTGAGGAGATTCTGCACTGTATTGGTGAGTGTGTTCAGCCTGCTGGCAGGAAGCATGAGGCCGTGCAGTTGTGGGAGAGGAGATACTAAGTCCTGCACTCTTCTCCACCCCTTGCTGGCAGCAACTGCCCACAGCAATGCCAGCAGCAAGGAACATGTCCCTGTGTGTCTGCACAAAGCCAGTGCCTCAGCTGGCAGTTGCGGGTTCGTGCTCTGATGCAAGGCGGTCAACAAGGTAAAGGGACAGGTGCCTGATCGTTCCTGCAGATTACAAGCATTATGGTGACTTCTTCTTGGTGGTGAACAGGTGCACGAGGAAGGCAGCATCAGCAGGTGTAGCTGGACTCAGACTCCATCAGTGGCAATGCCAGCTTCAGCTGAGTGCTGCCTTTGCAGCAGCCCTCAGGAGTCTCTGACCCAGGAGGCAATGGGCAGAAACTGATGCATAGGAAGTTCCACCTGCAGATGAGGAAGAACCTAATAACTGTGTGGGTGACCATGCACAGATTGTCTAGAGATGCTGTGGAGATACTAAAGAACCGTCTGGACACAATTCTGTGCCATGTGCTCTGTGATTACTCTGCATGAGCAGGAAGGTTGGGCTAGATGACACCCTGTCATCCCTTTCAACTTCACCCATTCTGTGATTGTTACTGTGGTGCCACAGTGTTTGCCAGCCCGGACTGTGCTGGCACAGGTTTGCAAGGCTGTCCAGGGACTAAGAAGGAAAATCTATTTTTCCCAGGCTGGCTTCTGACTTCAGTTTGTTCTAATGCCAAGGCTGAATCTCCACTTAACTGTTCCGTAGTTCGAGTGCTCATTCGTAACACTTTAAAGAAGTGCATAGAAAGTGAAAACCATGATGCAATAGAATTCCTGAACACCTTGAATAGTCATATTTGTATTAAAATTGTAGGGTTGTAAGTCAGAGCTGAAATAGAAAGTAAAGCTTAAATTATGTATAGATTGAGATAAGATTTTTATTTGTGGTCTTCCCACATCATGCAAAGTGACATGCCAACTCTGTTTTGATGTTTACTACATCAACTTCATACTGACAAGGGTGGTGGGGTTTGGGGTTTTTTGGTTTTGTTTTTTTTCCTGGCCCCTAGCCAGGAGCTGAAGTGCAGCATCCCATTTGCATAAAACCGGAGAGATTACAGCTGCCTTCATCTCTATTACAGATGCAGGGTACCACCTGCTGAGACAACAGGTTCCAACTTGCTGTGGTCCTTTTGATTTGTGCTGCTTTCCATTTGGATCAGGAGGGAGCGGTGCATGCCGGGATAACGTGTTGTCTCTGTGGGTGGTGCCTCCCTATTAAAGGTGAGGGTAAGCATGAGCCTTTCAAGATCTTCAGTCCAGCTTGTGTTCTGCTTGCTTGTATAGATCCTCTGAATGACCTTAACTTGTAAAAGGGCAAGGATGCTTGTTAGAGTTGGGAGGAAGAAAAAAGAGCACAAAAGTGGATCAGGTAACCAATACAAGGCTTGCAGAGGGGTGGGTGTTTTCTTGAAGGCTTTTTCTGAGTATAAAAGGAGTTTGAAAAGAGTATTTAGAAAATAGCCTGGAAGTTGGAACGAGTGCTCTCTTTCTTTTGAGTGCATGCTGGCTTCTCCTTTGAACCTGCATGAATATAGGATGGAGTGGTGCTGACAGCTATCACTTTAGTGGCCTCTTAGTTCTGTAGCCTTTCATAAATTTAAAAGCTCACTGCCCTCAGCTTGCCAGCCTTTAGCCTTATATTTTGCTATTTAATGGGTCCCTAAGTGCTTTATAAACCACATGCCTAAAGCACTGCTGAAATACTACACCAAACTCCAAGGTAACTGAATTATTTTAAAATGGTGGAGAGTGACTCTGCCCCTCTTTGTTTTCATGATAAAATAGAGGGCCTTTAGGAAGATGGTAAATTAGAGAGAGGTGGTAGATCCATATTTCAGCTAAGATTTGTAAAGTTCATCTTGTCTACCTTGAGAGGTTGCTGGAGGTGGAGCATCTGCCCCAGCTAAAGGGAATTACATGGAAGAGAAGATCAGTGAGCATCAGTTTAGGAAAGCAGTACAAGAAGCAGGACTTTGAGGAGAGAGGGTCCAAGGTG